AAAGCGTCCAGAAAAAAGTGACGCCATGTAAAATAGCCTTCAGGACGGCAATTCACATACTTTTCTCTCTTTCTCTATCACTCTGTTTCTATCTCTGTTGCTCAGATTTGCGCGCGCTAACGCTCGCAATCTAATTACCCGGTGCAGCTTTTTGTGTAAAATGTGTGCGATTGAGTGAGCGAGCGAGCGAGCGAATATATGTGTTTCAAAACCAATTTAACCCGTTCGATGCAATAATGATCTGGTGCTAATGAAAGACGAAAGCCGGCATATTTCATTCTAATTAAAATGTTGGACTTTAATTAACATCGCAGATCATTAGAATCGTACACGTATCTGCGTTGCTCTGGCTCTGTTCTCGTCTATCTCACTCACAATGTTACTTTATTTAAAAAAATAATAATTAATATCATTAATTGTTTGTTTATGCCATTGCAAATTGAACGGCGGAGCAGAAGAGAGAGAGAGAGAGAGAGAGAGAGAGAGAGAGAGAGAGAAAAATTGCTCGACCAAAACGCACGGTGTGTATCACTTTGGTCGTGTGCTAGCGCACACAAAATTTATTGTTTTCAATCGCACAAAATCGTAATTTAATTACCTCGTCAACTCGGTGTGTTACACTGAGCCACAGCTCAATTCAAAGGGAATACTCATACCAGCCGTCCACATTGCATCGCCGTGACGTAATCACATTTCTCACACTGCAAAATTCCGTTTGGCTAGAGCCCCCCAACAATCAATTTAATTTAATTTTTTTTTTCTCTCTCATTTTCAAATAATAATGAGCAATTAATGGATTCAACACAGAAACGATCGGATTTTTTTTTCAGCACGTTCGATCAAACGATGCCGGTTATATGCGTTGTGTGTTGCAGTAAATTGTGTGCGAAAATTCGCGGGCAATCAAATTGTGGTGAGAGTAGCCGCCCGATTAAATTATCAAACTTTTAACTAAGTAATTAAGCTCTAATTATATCTCGATGATTTTTCATTTTCAAATACAACAGGCCTCTAGATTGATCTAGCACTACAAAACTAACCTAAGATCAAAAGCATTTTATGTGCGTAATATCAATTGCATGCTTATCAAATTGCACTTTACTACGGCATCGAATGAATGCAAATTTTAAATTGAATTGCAAAACAATTGATGTTTTAGCATAAATTTAGTAAACTTCATTACTTAAAATTAACACACAACGTTCGCTCGTGGTTTGTTTTTCTTTCTCTCTTCTTATCTTCATTTCATTCAATTGGAATATCAAGTTCCCTTTTTTATTGATTATAATATTTCACAGAATAGAAAATTGAAGCGTTTTACTGCTGTTGCACATGCAACATTCGATTATCAACATAAAATGCTTTCATTCACGCCAATATTCATAGCACAATCAGAGAGATTTCAGCAATGAAATTTAGCATTCGGGATTTTGATGTTCGTTTTGCGGGAGAGAATAATCGCACATAGATTCGGATCATAACATGCATACACATAATAAAGCAAGAGAAAAAAATGTGTATTACTTCTCTAATAGAGAATCTATATTCGGTTTATGCGGTGCACAAATTACTGTTTTCCGTTTTAATGTGCAAAAACTATTTGGATAATCATAGATATTTTGTGGTGCATCGGCTGCGCCCACTGTTTTCGATATACATATATATTGAAATATGAAAATTGCAATGCAAAATTCCGAATAAATACAATTGCATCGTTAGTTAATGGTCCATCATAAAGGCCAGCTTTATCTTTTGCATCGGCAGTAGCCGCCACAAAAACTGGAATTGAGTAGGTCCAAAACCAAGGCTAAACGGCGAAATTTCCACGAAACTTATTAAATATTTTATGGATTTACTTACGTTATTTCGTTTAAGCAGCACATTACTAATATTTAAATAGTACATTTTCACGCCCATTCATCGTTCTTAGTACATTTTTGCGCAGCATTTGGTGAGCTATAGCTATAGATACAATTGAATATATCCAAGGGAACATACATAAAGTTGAATGGAAAAAAGAACGGCACATCACTCAGAAGAAAAAACAACCAAATCCTGTTCATTTCATCAGTGATATGTGATGAGAAAAATACTTGCCCCAAATGATCTCGGCTCTCAAACAATTTGTTTTTGTATTAGCGCCTCGCAACATATTTCTCAATCTTCACCTCTTGAATAAAATTAACCGTCTTTCTACCATTCAACTCGATATTCATTTCATTTTAATATGTTTTCATATCTGTAAAACTAATTCGCTCATTACGATACATAATATGCGTCATAAATAACGAAAGCTAATATGATGATCGAGGCGAAAATAATACGAAGAATCAAAACATCATTAGAAAATATGTTGCATACTTTTACACGGCGCATTTCACTTGATTAGCAAAAATGATTTGGTGGAACTCCAGCCGCGTTTTTTGTGAAATGAATTAATTTTTGTTTTTTTTTTTCTTGTGGAATTAAACAATTTTTTTTTCTCTGCTTCCTCAACATCGCATTAACATCATTCTCATTCATTCATCCAATCAAAAGTAGTATAGAAGAAGACGACGACTTTGTTTTAATTTGGAATAAGTCACAATGTTGAGTTCATTCATGAAAGAAAAAAAATTGGAAATTAGTCAAGCGATTGGATTGTGCTAAGGTGACAGAGTATTATAATGATGCCATTGATCGTTGTTGTTTGACCACAATCAAAACGCGATTTTCACATCGTTGTCACTTCCATCGTTGGTAGGAACTTTGAAACCAATTTCCCATCTGATTATAGATTTGTACTGTTGTTTTTCTTTCCTTCCTCTTTCCACTCACTCTCACTCCACGCAACCAAGTAAAATGATAATTTATATCACGGCATTACATACGACTGGCGTCGATTTCAATTGCAGCGTGTGCAATCGCCATTTGAAGCGCCTACTTCAGTGTTTGATTTATAATTCATCACAGCGGGTAATCAATTCGATTTGCCTTGCTCATAAAATACAATCCAATTTGTGTGCATTTCCATTGACGATCCGGAATTTCCTCAAACGGAATATGGCCGTTTGGGTGAAAATACTACTCACCAGTTGGGCTGTGACTTTGTATACCACGGCCGAAGAGACAGAGGAAAACGAACAAACCACACAAACAAATTTTGAAATATGAAAACCAATTATTTTCAATTTATTAAGAATGGAACTGAATGATTCATTTTAATATGCACTGAACATAGCGGCTCCACTCCATTGTTATGCAAATGAACGTTTTTTCGGCCGTTTGAAAGTTGATCAATCAATGAAAAGAAAATATTATTTGATGAAAAAAAAAAAAAAAAAAAAAAAAACAGTTGTTATTGAATGAATCAGATGTTTTTTTAGTGATAACAGCGATAACATCATTATCATATGCCGACTATATGACTGATAAAATTTATCTTTTCTAATTTGTTTTAATTTTTGTATGCAAGCTATCATGTCTAATTTTCTGTTCTTCAAGTTTATCATTTTTATCAATGTCATTGAGGTTTTTTTTATCTTTTGCTTTAAATTTGTTCATTAGTAGCTGATAATAAGAGCACTTCGATATTTATCGATAAAGCGGAAAAAAAGCCATTTTACGATAGCATTCTTACCTAAGTTATCATCGACGATAAATAGAAAAATGCACCAAAAAGTGCAAGTGAAGATTATTACCTTAACCCTCGAGTTGAGTATCGCTTTGAAAAGTGAATTTTTGCTGCTGATAAACCTTTTGAGACTTTTTTTTTGAAAATGAGAGCCTCACTGTGAGTTTGAGTTTTTCAACATTTTTTAAAAAAATTTCTCCTTTTTGGATATTTTTCTGATTGAACTGAAATAGAACAGACTAATGCACAATTGTACATTCAATCTTATGTGAATAGCTTTTTTGTCTTACTTTTGAACCAAGGCAACTTTTATTCAGCCCAAGAATCAATTTAACTTCCATAGGATTTCATCATTTCACCAAACTCAAATCAAGTAAAAACTTTAAAATGGCCAAAATTGGATCATTTTTCAGCAGTCTTCAAAGAGTCAGCAGTCTTCTTCCATTCGCCCCAAAGAGTTAAACTGTTTCCGTCTAAATTCAACTTGTATATAGCAGCACTTGTGAATTTCTGTATCCAACTTCTGCTACACCTTTGCAGCGTGGAAGATCGACCGATGTAACGTACGAATGCAAAGATGTATCTGTCAGGAGCCTTATGCATTTCATTTCGAGTTGTTTTTTTACCTTCATTTTAATTCATTTCCCCATCGTCAAGCTGCAATTTTTTATTTTTTTTTTGTCTTACTGTTTCTTCGTTGGCTTCAGTTTTGTTCATTTTACGCTGCGCTGGTGCGAAGTGATTTTAATGATGTGTGCGTGAACGAAGACGAAAGATTCAAATTCAGCGCAATCTTCACATCCAAAATATCGCTGGCTGGAATATTTCAGAAATACCGTGTGTGTGTCTGTCGACGCTTGTTTGCTTCTTCGGGTCGCGTTCAATGTGTACATTTTGTGACATGCATTAAATTTAATGTTCGCTTCGAAAACGATGTATAGCGAACGTCAGGAAAAGTGGTCTTAAATTGAATTTTAATGTGATTTGTAACATTTTTTTTTCTTCTCTCCGATTTTTTTTTGCCTACCTTTTGATTGGATTTCGGACGTTGATTGCTGTAATTTAGCTGTGTAAACGGACGAGGCATATGCAGCGAGAGAAAAAAAAAGCACACGAACCCGAATGCTATTCTTAATGAAATTTCACGCAAAAATCATAAATGTCAAAATATTCGCTTTATTGAATAATATTTCTGCAAGCGAGTTGGGCTTCCAACCAGAGAGAGTAAGAGATAGAGAGAGACCATTGGAATCCGAATTATGAACTGTAGCGTCGATTTCATAGTTTGCTCAAATATGCAACACAAAACACATACGCAGCGAACGAGGGAAAACGGTTGGAATTCCTGAATTTTCAAATCAAAAACAAAAACCGCATATAAATATTTGATTTTTTGGTTGAAATTTGTAATTTTTATTAAAAAGCTGAATATGCAATCACATGTTGTTTTGATTGTAGCATATATTTTTGAATTGTGAGTTGTTGATTTGCCACTTACAAGCTAGTTTGTATAGAGCGTCATTTTTCACAAAATCTTATCTAAAAAAAATTGGTGCCATTAAATCTAAATACCAAGTCCTTTTTACTATTTTGAATAAATTATTAACGTTTTTTGTTTTATATTTTTCAACATTATAATTACGGTCTACACTTGATTTGTATTCTCAAAAAGGTTTGCTCTTTAAAAAAGCAAAAACGAATGGGTTCAGTGCTACTTTTAAATTACTTGTATTTGAGCAATCGTCAAAGTAAAAATTAGTTTTGCACAAACTATTCAAAGAACAAAAAAAAACGATCCTATTCCTAATTAAACTACTTTGTATCATGTTTGCAAAAGTTTACATCTAAATTCGGTTTTCACTTTTTGATTTGTTTGTGAGAAGAAAAAAAAAACTGAATGAAATAAAAGCATTGTGATTTGCACTATAAAGAGAGTGATCAGAAGTAAAAAATTCAACATATTGTAAACGTCACCATGAATTCAACTGATGATATCATGACCGTTTTGACGCAGCATTTCCAGGCGTATTTCATGTTCGCGTGCCTTCAATCGAAGTGCAGCAATGGATGAGCTCCTTCGGTCATCGGTGGGTGATGCACCATCGCTGCCGCCACTGCTGATTGAGCTGTTGGCCGTTGTTGTCAGATTAGTGGCTGTCGATGGATGACCTTGCGGCGAGATCGGTGGCGATCCAGCACTGGTCATATATTCAGCGTGGGTCGCATGGAATGATGGCGGTTTCGATGCAGCCGATAACGATGCCGATACAGCGTTCGAATGTTGTGCAGCTGATATATTTGCAAGCAATGATTGGAACGATGCACTCGGCGAATACAATGCACCTACACCAGGTGGCAACATCGGCGACGGCGGCGTTCTAGACCAAACGGAAAACAAAAACATAGACTTGAATAAAATTCAATGTCAATGAAGCAATAAAATAGTCGTGCGAGCTCACAATTTGAAATGGTAATGGAGTGAATTTGTGTGCGGGGCACAAGAAGTGTGAAAGGACAACAACAACAAAAAACAGAAATAAAGAACTAAAGTCGAAATCGAAATCGTCAAACGGATATGAATTACAACGGTCAATTAACCATCATGCGGAAGTGATAATTAAAATTGAGAAGAGAATTGAGAATGAACGAAAGAAAGAAAAAGAAAAAGAAAAAGAAAGGAAAGAAAAAAAACTTCTGGCCAAACGAAAGGAAATTGCGGATGAAATTGGTTTTCTTGCAAATTTCAAAAAAGTGAATTATGAATAAAAAGAGCGAGTGTGTGTGTGTTGGCTCGATGGATGGATCAATTACCTGTGAAATTGATGTAAATATGCTGGTGGCAAGACCGATGCGCCTGGTAAGTGTGGATAGCGAAAGGCGGCCAAACCGCTTGCGTCGAACGGTTTTCGCAAATTAAAGCCCAAATGTGTGAACGGATTCGGTGGCAATGCGGACGCAACTACCGTTGCCGATGGTATTTGTGCCGAACTCGGCAAATACGGATTGTACGGATGACCCGTTGGCCCGACTTTTTCTTGTTTACGCCATTTAGCGCGCCGATTTTGGAACCAAACCTGCAAAGAAGAACAAAAACACAGAGTTAAATCAATCGCACTGAAAGTGTCTACAGTCGTTTGTTTCATTCAAGAACGACGATTCGTTCAAACGAAACGAGAAAAAAAAATCAGAAGAAAAAAAAACATTAAGAACAAACGTCTATAATTAAAGTGATTAGTAATTGCTAAGAACTCAGCACTAGTTGTGTACTGTTGCTGATGCTGTTTGTGGTTGAGATTTCCATCGCAAAATATAGATATGTTAATTAAAGAATATTGAGTTCAAGTAATTAATCAACATATATCTTGTTGTATTTCCATTACGATTGCCGCATTTTATGCGCTTTTTTTTCTTCTACAATTGCACAACAATCAATGCCTAATTTGTATTCCTCTCCGATGTCGGACAATGGCACTCACACACTCACACACAATACAAATCAGTGCGAGAGCAAAGAGATGCTCAACGTCCATGGGGATTGTGTGAGTTTTAGTTTCCAGTGTAATAGAATAAAAAAACAAACCTACAGATTAATTTAATTTCATTCTAATTATTGCCCATTTAAAACACTCACATTTGCACATTGAACGTGGTGTACGTACAATTAAAACGTGAGGAAACAAATCCGATTCGTACATAGATATTCATAATGATCATCTCTCATCGATGCGATCCGAAGCGATGCAATGCGATGACGAAATACTTAACAAGTTACGCATAATTAATGCAACTAAATGAATAAATTGCAGATTGTGTGTGTGCGTGTGTGTTTTTCTTTTCGTACGCTAATTATTCGTACGCGCTGACGTTTCCAAGGTATATACAATGTAACAGAATTCTAAAGAGTATGCAACACAAATGATTGCAAAACATGCAAGTGACGGCAATTTGAGGAGAGAAAAAAATAAAACAAGTCAAGAGAAGAGGAAAAACGATGACGATGACAACGGGGCAAAATCCGGCAAAACATCGTCACTCGCAGATGGTCTACTATAATCGAAATTGTATTCATGATGTCGAATATTCATCAGAAAACCAGTCAACGAACTATTACTCGCTCATTGCGAATTATGATTTTCATCATTTCAGCTCGAGATTTCCTCATATCTCTCTCTCTCTCCTCTCTCTCTCGGCTTTCCTCAACCAAAACGAAAGCCATCCATCGATGTGAACGAACGTTCGAAACGGATTTCGCAAAATCGGCCGATGGCCAATATCATTTCGATGATAAAGTAAATATCATCGAACAAACAATAACAAAAATCAATTGAACGACGACGACCACATTGACGTCACTTGGGCGCGAAATATTCCATCAGGCAAATTGGTTTGTGTAGCAACGTTGCTAATTTCATTGCAACTCTCAAAACAAATTATCATATTATGCACGTTTCCGATTCAATAAATGAAATAAATGCAAATGTTTTTCATTACGATTTACATGCGAAAAATCGCGAGCGCTCAATCGGTCGGTCGGTCGCTCGCTCGCTTGCTAACTCCGTGTGAGTATGCTATGATACGGCATGTGTGTGTATTGACAGAAGACACAATTTGACGAACGAGCCCATAGTAGGCATACGAAACGAAACGCTACGGCAAATAACGAGAATAATGCAGAATCGAAGGAAAATTAACAGTTTCAAGGGATGGGTGTATGTGTGTGTGTATATTATATGCGAATGAGCCAGAGTAAAGGCACAGTAACGCAACGCACGCTGAGTACTCGATACATGCACTGCTGTTTGTTGTGTATATATGTACAGTACGAGCGGTGTGTTTAAAATTAATTCAATTATATAAATTGTTTCCTTGGAAATGATTATTTGTTAAATTGATGGATATATCGTACGTATGGTACGGTGGTGGATGGTGTATATTACACACATTACAAGCATACTATATATGCGACACGGCTGAATTGAATAGACCCTCCGAATATAAAACTGTGCCAAAAAATATTGTATCCCATTTCAACGTAGAACCCATAAATGATTTGTGAAATTTTTGTCGTTTTTTTGCCCGAAAAAATGCAAAAAAAAATGAACCAAACAAATCAACAAACATAAATGTGAAAGGAACCGCATGAAAAGTGCCCACAAAGACAGAATAAACAAATTAAAACAGCAGATCGACTTCGAATTCTTACGAATGCAATATGTTTTTTCTCTCTTTCATTTGCTTTATGAAATTTGTTGCCGTTTTTTTTTCGGTTCTCTTCATAATTTCCCGCACTAAAGTGAACCGAAAAAAAACGACCAAAATCGTTTGCAAAGAGTCAGAACGTGAAAGCGCAGTTCATTTAGCGTTTTGCCTGAATAACCGTTGCACAAATGCTGCTATGCGAAAACAAAAGACGGGGAAAAACAGCAAACACACACATAAATCGAATTGATGCAATAATTCGTTAACTAATCCATTTGAATTAGCACATCACTGTTGAAAAATGCGCGTGCAATTGTTCGCTCACATCCGCGAGGAAAGATGCAGCGAGAGAGACCAAATGATGCGATATGTTTGCGAGAGCCTTACGAATAAAATGACCCAATGATATGTTATATTGCCGCAGCAAGAAATCTGCTGCACTAACGAAAAATGTGATTGTACATTGCAATTACGTGCAAATGATGTAATTAGGCAATTATCGATGAGGCCAAACAAAGCACAAAAAACGTCAATTACCAGACAGTCTTTGTGATGGATCTCATGCAATGTGCTGTGTTGCATCCCCGGCTGAAGAGCGTAGAAAAAAAAGGCCAACGAAACAACAAGAACCAAATCAATCGATAAACATTTTTCGATTCGTTGATTCGGTTTGGATCGGGCGAGAGAATGTGATTCGTGAATTAAACTCTCTGGCTCTCGGTCGAAATCATCATTTGACCATTTGTGTTCGATTTATTTGGCTAAATTCTCATAGCAATTTGCGATTTTTCCTTGTTGCTGTTGCTGTGTTGGTTGGTCGCTGGTTTTTTTTTTCGTTTGCCCAGACCAAAGCGTCCATATCACCAATTAGTCAATGCAAAGCGATGCAACAATGAAATTCGCTTCGAATTTGTATCATTCGAAAAAGCATAACTCAAAGAAATTGCACACTTGCAATTAAAGACAACCAAGAGAGTGAAATTATTGGCTTGGATGCCCGCCGGATTTCTTCCAACTGCATTTCGATTTGCGATAATAACTGACTTCCATATATATATATATTCATACAACTGCGATGTGATTGTGGTTCAGTATGGTATATACTTTTTGAAAGCATTCACTCATCGAAAATGAATTCGTTAGGTTTTTTTCTTCTTCTTCGTTGCCGCGCGCAGTTCTTCATTTTCATCATCATCATCGTCGTCGTTGGTTATTGTTTTTTTTTTCGTTTGCTTTGTTCTCTGTCTGGTCTGGATTGCAATCGCACAAACACGCACTTATTGCTCATTTACTTATTCATTATTTTTGGAATATTTGATTTGAAGGCGAACGAAAAAGAGGAATTGAAACCAATTTAAGGCATTTTCGATGAAAACACAAAACAACAACAGCATAAAAAAAAATTGGTGCAACAATGCAGTTGAGAGAGTGAATTGAAAGACGCTTCAACCTGATAAAATACACAACAACGCCACGGCCAATGTTAATAAGTTCTTTAAGTCGAAAGTGCATTTTTTAAATTCAAACTCAATCTACACTATAATTTAATTTAATTGAATTACTCGCTTGCCGCGTTTCTCAACATCCGCCAAACCAATGGGCTGAACGCGTAGCCGCGCGCACATGTGTGTGCAAATTAAAAAAGAAGAACTATTGATGAATTTTGCTACGTGCAAAAAACGATCAAGCCAACTTGATTCAATCCAAATCCCGTACGGCAGTAAAGCGAGAGCAAGATAGAGATTGGAAGCCAATAATAATAATCATCATCATCATTGAAATGAAATTAAGAACAGATCTGCGCTCTGCTCACCTAAAACGATAAGAGAGATATATTCGAAGCGTATTGCGACCAAGCACACGGCTCACACACCGTGAATTGTTTCTTTATCTTGCTGACGACCCAACCGATCGACTGCTAACCGAACACCGAATTATTCATTAATCTTTCCCATTTAACCTGTCACGCACATTATCTCAGCGGCCGAGGGGCCGACACATACCTGTCTCATCAACACAACTAAAATACATCCCAAAAACCATCTCATGACTTTGTTTTTTCATATTTTCATTTCGACCATTCCGCTTTCAACTTTGATTCGTGCGGCACCGTGGCATATATACAATTAAAATATAAATTAAAGTTATTATTACCAAGTGCTAAATACAGACCAGTCAATTCTAATTAAAATCGGAAAAATATGCACTCGCAATCGAAACAACTCGGATGCGGTTTGTATACTGAAATTGAGTGTTTCGATGAAGAAAACATTGTTATGGACACAGTTGAAGGGGAAGTCACCGTTCAAATTTATTAAACAGAAACTTTTAACAAAAATGTTATGAAGATCTGGCACTTGATTCATTCGGTCAAATTCTGAACGGTGCAAATGCACACACACACATTGAACGGTAATAATACAAGCACTGATACTTAACGCCTGTAGATCTGCGTAATTTATAATTGGATGTGTCGATGTTTTGAAGTATATTTCATAATGAATATAGCCAGCTTTCAATATTAATCGACAATTGATGCAACTTCAACTCGGGCTTCTCGATTTTCTTTGGCAGGTTTTTTTTTGTATCGTTCAAGAGAAACTCACTGGCCGTGCCCCAATGCAATAAAGTACATTGTTAACGATCAATGATGACGACCAACAAATATTCCGACTTTTAAACTCTTATGCATTTTTGAACCATTCTCAATGTTTTTATAGGATCTTTCGATATTTGTCGAAAGACTTTGCGATGTTTTTGTTGAAAAACATTGAAAAACACCGGAGAATTGAACGAAAAATGACAAAAAAAACAAACAATCATCATACCTAATGCCTTGAGTATACCTAATTGAGTCGGTATATCGCAGTCTAATGTTTTAGAACACACTTCTTATCTCATTCATTTTCAACTCATTTGAAAAAGTGACTTCTAGTCCCATTCTAAATATCATAAAACAAAATGTAACAAATTTCAAATTGTATGGCCAGGGCCACCGAAGCATAAAAAAAATGTAAAGCCGATGAGATAAAGATCGTGTAATGTGTTTTGTTATTTTGTTGTTGTTTAGCTTTCGTCCGATTTTTTTCGTGTGATTGTTTGCCAGGTGTGTTTGTGTGTGTATGTGTATGTGGATTTGATTGAGTATTCAATGCATCGAAGTCAACAGTTGCATATTCATAGCGCGCTTCTTGTCTTCATTTCGGTTCTCAATGTTTTCTTTTCGACCATTGACGACGATGATGATTCAATACATTGTCGATGCATCGAGATTCATCTCGTTTGGTCAATTTGTCGATGGTGTTCTGTGTCTTATTCGATTGCCATTTATTTTCCTCATAAACTCGCTCATGAAATTTCAGTTCGTTTATCAAGATTTTCTGTAATTGTCTCCAGTGTGTTTCGTTTTTTTTCATTAGGACTTGAAAATAAAAGAGAAGAGCAATACATATCGCCGAACATCAACGATTTTGTAGCTGACGATGTTCTTGGCACCAACGAAAGAGCCCAGCCACCACACACAAATGTGGAACAACGGATGAAATGAAATGACCAAACTGCCACTTAAAGGTTTCCCTGTCCGTTCAATGTGTTTTTTCTCTCTCGCTTTCTCGCTTTGCTTTGCTTTTTTTCCCGTTTCTATCCACTTCATTCTCCTGCTTTGGCCTGTTACAATTTCATTAAAACGTAAACGAATCGAAATGTTTGGTGTGTAAGTTGAGTTCGAGATTTGTTTCGTCGTTGTGCGTTGCATAAATTAATGCTGCCGTTGTTCTTGTTGTTGAACGCTCGTTGGCATTTCATGTTCACTTTACTTCAATTTAATCTTTTAAATTTTGTTATTAACATCAGTTTCGGGACCATCGATGATTATCTTTAGTGAGTGAGAAAACTAAGTTTTAATGAATATTGTGTTATCTTCGTTGGCGTTTTTGTTTTTCATTCTCCATCATGTCTTCTTCTTATTCTTGGCCAGAGTACTGTCAGTAATTTCGATTGATTTGCAAGTTGAAGCGTCCGATTAATACACATCGAAACGCTTCTGACGAAAAAATCAAATTAACTCGATGATATTTTGCGCTGACATAAACTATTCCATAAACCGAATGCATTTTATCGACGATAAACATCACATCCGCCTATATTTCGACTGATCTCTTTTTTTCTCTCGAAAGAGAGAAGGAGAAAGATGGAGAAAGAAGGAGAGAGGTAGATGGAGAGATACTCTATTTGATAAATGGATGCACTTATGAAACAACAACAGGTAATGAGAAAATAAAATACTCATATGAGTAAGTAGTCCAATTGAAACGAGCCCCGATCGGATCACATGATTGGATGATGAAAAATTCAACGAACTGCTGTTTGATTAATTAAAGATTGTTTTCCGTTTTTGGAACACCGCAAACACGCCACCGATATTACTTTTTGTTTTGATGAAGCACTGCACTGCACTGCACTAATTTAAAGTGAATTTATATCATTTTCAATCAGGATCATTCGATATTGTTGAGTTTTATCCACGTCAACCAATCAGAGGAGGGTCAGTATGATTAAGCCATAATAAGGTCATGGACAGAAATGCTTTGGAAGGACTCGACAGAAATTATATTAACTTAAAAGCAAATTCTCGATTCTAAAATTACTTTTTTTTCGTGGAAAATTTCATTTTTTCATGAGCACTTGATAAAGTTTTAGATTGGTATGTAGTTTACGAAGTAAAATTGAACGTTACGATTGAAAATGTTGATGTCGAATTTTAATTTACGATACTAGTCCATACTTTTTTCAAAATAAGAATCCAATCAAAATTTAAGTTAAAATTCCAATTATTCAACGAAAAACTAAAACACCATTGAAACTGGTGGTTACCATAACTCATGCACTTCAATTTCGAATCACCGGCCAAAAATTTGTAATCAAGCTCATTTTCATATGTGGAAACGTGGTTATTATAAGAGAGCTACTTAAACAAATGAAATATGTACTAGAAATGAGAAAACAAATAGCACCAGGAAGGCCTTCAAAATCAAACAAAATAAAAATCATGTTACTTTGTTGGCAATAAATCAATAGGTTGCATGGGAAAAATGGTGTAATGGCAAACGTTGATTAGACGTGGCTCCAGTGTGGTTTTCATTTTGGGAAAATTGATTCACTTTACTGCCACGTTTCAAACAACAGCAACAGCAACAGCCACAACGAACTAAAAAATCATTATTTGAAAGCCAATTTGAAAAAATAGAATTCTAGCATGACTAATGTGTGTCTGTGTGTGGTGGTGAAAATTCGTTGGATAAATATCAAGCGGTGAGCTGGAATTGATGGGATCATAAGTGCTGTTCATTTGGCCAAACATCTCGATTTGTGTCGGTGTGTGTTGTTTTTTATTTTCATTTTCATTTCGTTCGATTTAATTTATGATTTAATGAAATGGTATCACATATTAGGTGCACGCCTATTCAAATCATTACCATAACTCATGCACACCATTCAATAATAAATGGTGCTCTTTTACAACAATATTAACGGCAATTTTCAACCATATAAATTGACCATACAAGAGATCTATTCAATGCCTATATTACGACTATTAATTCTAATAATGAAATTATTTCAGGCAAGAAAATACACTTTTCGGGTTGAAGTCATTGCTTCTCTCGAAAAAAGAGAGAGACGACAGCTGGGATGGTTGTCGATAGCGGAAAATTGGAACTCATTAACGATCACAATATTTATGTGATCATACGTGGAAAAAAAAGTGAATTCAATTCGTTTTCAAACGATTTTTTCTTTCATTTCTCAATAAAGACGAAAAAAAGCCACTCACAAATAGCTCACGTGTGGAAGAATGACCGAACACTTCTCCGATCATTGAGTCATTGTTGGTTAATTGAATAGAATGTTTGTGCGCACCATGTGCACTAGACCTTAATGCGTTTCGTATGCTGCGCTGTGGATCGTACAACGGTGCACCACCATCATCTTCTATTAATAGTTGGGTGCTATTTTCTTTTTCATTGAGCACTAGTGTTCGCGGTCGAATGTTTCTAAACACAATTTAAAAGTAGAAAAAAAAGTGCTTATAATGCCATACACACACACATTCCACTCATTAGATGATAAGCAGCGGGTGGTGTTTCGTTCAACTACACCGTCACCTGATTACCCGTATTTAATACGTTTCTTTATTGCCATTTCATATTCCGGCGAGTGAGTTGCGTTTGCTTTTATTTCATAGTGTTTTTAACTACTGTATATTAAAAGGCATGAGAGAAAATAGCATTGAAACAAACAAACAAACATTCGAAATAAAACCTCTAAAATTCCAATCATTGTTGGCGACTGTTTTCCTCAATTTTCCCGGATTCGCCGAACAAATTGGCGGTATCAGCGAAACCCATTAGACGCTCATGAAATTCGCATAATACTAAAACTACTACCCCAAACGCAATTAAATCGACGATTTGGATCAAGTAATCAATATCACCGCTGCAGCAATTGAAAACTAATTTATATTGCCATTCTAATTGCATTCGATTATACGGTGATTTAATTAATCCGACTTTTTTTCCCTCGACTCTATTATTGCGATTACATCGATCTAAACATTTCGTCTTTCTCACTCTCTCTCTCCCTCGCGCACGGCGTTGCTCCATATATTTGATTGCAGCGCTGTATTTCTGAATGCGTCAGAGTATAATTTTTATTTATGATCGTCATTAGTCAAGCAATTGAGTGTATGGAAATATAATACATATTGCAAACATTCGAGTCTCCGTACGCACGAAGTAAATAGTAAACCGCTCTTGCTCTCTCTCTCTCTCTCGCTGGAAATTGAAAATAGTTATTGTTGATTACGATTGTGTGTGCATTCTAATTGTAATTACGAAATGAAGCTTGTGGTTTTTCTCCTTTTTTGTATGCACTATTTTGCATATCAACCGTTTCATTTTCACCAATTTGCACACATACACGAAGAGACTTTCGTAACGATTTAAATCTAATTGACGTGCCCAATGAACACGGTTTCGATTGAGGAATATTGTCACTCTAGACTTGAGTCAGCCAATTGCAATTTAAATCCATGGTTTTTTTGGAGGGAAACTTGAATATCACCGAATAAAAACGAAGCGTCGAACTTCGTTTTTTCCTTTCGAGATTTCTAGATAAAATCGAAATATCGCGAAAAATGAATACACTTTCTGAAGAAAATGTAAACGTTTGTTCTTTCCAAAGAATCCTCAAAATAATTTAATTAAATTTTAATGAAATCTTCCATTGTTTAGACTTCCATCAATTGTGTCATTGTTCAACTTGTTGAAACCAAAATGCAAACTATTCGTGTAAATGTTACTCGGTAAATCGTTTTAGGGAGGAGTTTCCATTCGTTTTTTTTTCCTCGCTAAACAACAATTTTTTTTCCTCGAGGTGGTTCTACTTTTTTCACGAAAATAATCCAATTAAAGTTATTAATTCTGAAATGTTGATGTTTGTTTCTCTGACTTCAACGGCATTTTGGCTTTAAATTAACCGAAATTCCTTTTGTTCATCGTCATAAAACCGTGATTGTTTTCTTTTCTTCTTCTTCAAAATGTTGATTCAATCCAAACTGGATATGCTGAGATTGTGTTTCATTTTAATTTACGATTCCATTGAAAATAATAGAGTAATTACCTGTATTCGAGCTTCAGTTAATCCAATTTTCATAGCTAATTCCTCTCTGTGGATGAAAGAAAGAAAAAAAACGAGACAAATATAAGTAAGGCAGCAGTAAATGAGCAAAATGAAAACCGAACGAGAGAAAAAGAGACAGATTTAAATCAAATGCGAAATGGTGAGAGTGAGGAAGATGGGAAGCGAAATGTGATTAGATGAAAATCACTTTAAATACGTTAAAATTACGAAATCAATTAAGCTTTCAGGAGAAAAAAAAAACAACAGCAACCAACACACCACACAATCACAAGTGTATATGGCAACTAATAATATAATAATGCGGCGCTTTTACCAGGAAAAATCCGAGCATTTAACGAAAAGACCACTAGGCATTTACACGGTCTGCATTGAGCATTAAGCACCTTGCATTTGTTGTTGCGTCGACTTATGTGGAAAACATCGGCACAAATGTGCTGCTGCTGACGCTTTTTGTGCTCTCGCACCAAAATGTCTTTGTAAAAACGGGAGCTCATATATATTCAAATAAATGGAGCGTGTATCATTATTATTAGCCATACGTGCGAGCGCGAGCGCGATACACGGTACTGTTATACTCTCTTGAGCCAACTACTTTTTTTCTGCACTGCGCGCGCAAGGGATTGTGGCATTTATTTACATGAGTCCAGAGTGTTGCAGCAGCTCAGCAGCAAAATTTAATTGTATTAAATCGTTTTGTATGCATCAAATGTTCGTCATCAACTTCCAATTTCAATCGGAGATATATCATTGCAAGCGATGGTTGTACTTTTTTTTATTCCACCAGAATACGCACATTGCATCCGACATACACACACTTTGGTTGTGTACAACAAACAAATTGGCGCGTTTTCTTCGGCAGTGCAAGAGTATTTAGTCGCCACAGGCGAATACCATTTCATTTAGTTGTGCATTTTTCTAATTAAACGCACGCATATATGCCAGTGTCGGTTCTCGGCTGTTACTCTTGCACAAGTGAGCGACAATGAAGAGTTGGCGGAAGAAGGGGACGAGCGAACGAGAAGGAGACAAGGAGAAAAAAACAAGAAGTTACTATCTCATCGAAATTCATAGTTTGCAGACTTTGGATTGATGTGCATAACAGCAAATAGTGAATACGAAAAAAAAAAATTACGCAAAACATAAGCGTCGCAAACAATTTAAGTGGATATGAAACGTTTTGTTCAAATTAATTAGATTTTTTTTTTCATTCTTGCCGTTGCCATCCGCTTTACTGTACGGTGTTTAATTGGTTTTTCCCCTCCCTTCGAACCAATTCAATTACCAACGAGTTGTGTCGCATCGAGACAATAAATGCGCTAATAAGTGTTGAGCAAAATTGATTCAAAATGCTTCGCAGCGATGAACACGAAAATCATCGCAATGCAAATCTCTCTCTATTGATTTCAATGCTTCCTTCAGCTTTTAATTGCGATTGCGTTTCGAGTGCGATGTGAGTGTGTATGACAAATTGGTGCAACGATTTGATGTTATCAAGAAGAGAGAGAGAGAAAAAAACAGTAGCAAAGGTGTGATAATTATATATATGAAACCGATACTCATTTCTAGCACGAACGATGCAAATGCATAACATGAACTACATATATTTCATTAGCCAAGCAAAACTCGTCACACAATTTCGTAGAAAAAAAAACCAAACATCGATACCGATGAGAATCTTTACGGTAATTTATGACATACGTACCTTGTAAACACGTCCGGATAATGCGTCCGAGAAAAAGCCTTGACGTTTCGAAAACAAAGAAAAGAAGCAAAAAAAACGAAATTTCATTTAGTTTAACACACATTATAAATTGTGGATCAATTGTGTAGTACCTTTTCCAATTCCTCCAACTGAAAACTCGTAAACGTGGTACGATATCGTCGTTGTTTACGTTTCGGTGCAAAACCATCGTCCATCATATCACCGCATTCGCTGTTTTGATCGGAGATTGGACTGTTGGTGCCGCCACTGGTTGGTGGTCCTGGACGTTCCATCATATTGCTCAGCATTTTCGATGCAGCGTCATGTGGCATTGCATCGAGTTTTGTCTCTTCTGATATGCCCATGGCGGGCGTATCAAACTGTGGTATTCGGGCGATTGTGAGAATTTTGATGCTGATTTAATCACCTGCATCGACAAAAAATGATACAAACGAAATTGATTTTTAATTTGAATTAAAAAAGAAAAAACTGAATTTTGGTTTTAAACTGAATCAAAATTACTTTGTTTCATCGAAAATTCTTTTCGTCAAAATGTTGGTATATGAATAAAAAATGATTTAAAACAACGCATGTTGGAAGTAATAGATGTAAAAAAATGAATATTTAAAACAAAAACAATTAATATTGAAGAAAATCCGCGGAATATTTTCAGAAACTGATCGACGTTGCCGAAACAAAATGAATAATTGATTGAATCAGCGCAATTTTATTGAATGCAAATCGGGATTTTGACGTTCTATTTATGAAAGTTTAATAAATTCATCGCATTTCGTTGCATGTCAATGGTATAATATGGCATAGTTTTTAGAGCACACGAATAACAACCAACAAAACAGTGAATTTTGCTTTGAAAATTGAAATAGAAACAAAGTAATACAGTTTCGTTTATTTCATAAATAAATTCCATTTTGATTTTCATATGTAACAAATGAAGTAATTTAATTGGATGTTGTTGCTTTTCTCTTTCGCTGGAATGGTATAAAATTGGAAGCGCGTGTGTGTGCCGATTGCGCGCACTCTCTCTCTCTTACACACACACACACAGACACACAGATTCAACATGAGCACCTAACACAAATTGTATGTTGCTAACATATGGACTATGAATATCGCAACATTTTTATATCGATTCACGGAGCACATGTGTGTGGTATTTTATTCATCGTAAACTATTCAAATTTTTTGTTTCGTTGTATTTTAATTTACTACTAGCAATTGAATTGAAACCGAGAGAGAGAGAGAGAGAGAGAGAGAGAGAGATGGAGAGATGGAGAGCGAGAGAATAACAAATGTAAAATTACTATTCGGAGTGTTTAAAGTAATTGGATTTTTCACTTGATATGTATGCATCTGCACAAAACGGCATTCAAATAGACAATACGTATTCTATGGCTTAGTTCTTGGATGTAATTATTCAATATTTTAATAAGTAAACACAAAATTGATGTAATTAAACAAAATTGAATGTGTGTTCTGGATAGGAGAGCAAGGAGGAAAATAAAAACGTCGATACGACTTTGTATTGAAAAGAGAGAAGAAAAAAAAAACGGTTCAATTCACCTTTTTATGTTCGTATAAATATATGCACAGAAAATATTAAAATGAAGTAGAATGAAATATTTAAATAAGACTGAAGCAGAAAAATGAGGCAGAAAAACAGATATGTTGAATGATTTATTAATAATTTAATCATTTGAATGGTTTGGAAATGAAGGAAAATGACATGGATACGCATGCAATCTGTTGCAAATGTTTGGTATCAATCGAATTTTGTGGATTTCAAATGCGAGTTGGTTGGATTTTTTTTTTCTTCCTCGTTTGAGTCCACCAAGTAGTCGAACATTCACCTTACTGTCGGCACAACGTCAATAAATAATTTTTTTTCCACCGTTCAGACACAATATATGCAATTCGATGACTTTGTTTGCAACATTTAACAGTCGACTGTTTATAGCAGTGTGCGTTTTTTTCTGCTTTTCATTTTCTACGAGAATTGTGAGGTTTTGCAACGATGTCGGCTTTGAACGCGTGTCACATCATAGTAACAAAAGCAAAATGAAGCAAAACAACACACAGCCGAAGAAGAAAGAAGAAGAAGAAGAAGAAGAAGAAAAAAAAATTACTAAGTGGAAAATTATCGCGTGTGAAATTGCAACTTTGCGTTATTTATATCGTACATTATTCGTCTATAGTAGATTTTTGCCGATGGTTCTAGGAGCGTGAGCCGTCGAGCTCTCTTGTTCTCTTTCTTTCTCTTTGTGTTTCTTTCTCTCTCTCGCTCTCCCTTACTTCTTGCTATTCTGCACCGAACAAGTCTCGTCACACTGAGAATGCTGAAAAGTGTACAGTACAGTGTACACATACACACGGCAAAATTCACAGTAGTTAAGTAAATGACAGAGAAAAATGCACCTCTTTAATATGACTAAATGTAAAAATTGATGTACACAAACAACAACGACAATGACGACAACGAAAACAACAACAACGGCAACAAAACTAAAAGCGACAGCAACAATTATAATGCAATTGAAAGAATAGACATACTGTGAATGAGACGAGGAACCAAAGGTATGAATTAAAACGAACGCCTTTTAGGTGTACAATCGAAACGAATACAACAGCGAATACACACATTCGAAAGAAAGTATAATAAATAAAATTATTTAATGATTATGTTTTATTAAGCGATTCCTCGGGGCTAAAGATAGTATAGTTGTCCAAAGCGGATATGAAAATGCAACACGCTCACACACACACACACACACACAACGCTGACTGATTTTCGAGTTGAGTATTTGATTGAAGGTAATATCAACTGTTTGATTAAATTGCATTACACATTTAATTAGGCTTTGATAAAAAAGCAAACGACTCATAAGGCTGCGTTTCGTCTTGTCAACGAGCATAAAAACTGTCGATTTTATTGTAATGACCAGCTGTTTCGTCGCAAATCGAAAGTTATATACGAACAGACGCGATCGAATATAAGGAAATGAATTGGTTTCCGTCTGTAATAAGGGGGTCGGTCTTGAAACATCTCAATTCTTTTCGCCAACATTCGTTGCATTCTAACTCCGAGTGTGAGAGAGAGATTTGTGTGTGTGTGTGTGCCGAGCAATATGAAAACGATCATATAATTTATTGTAACGCTCATCTCTTGCAGCGACCAAGATGGTCCAAGGCGAGAGAAAACCTCAAATCGTGCTAATTAAACGCTTAAAGCATAAATGAATGGATACGGTTATTTTGCGAGGCAACGGCAGCAACGATTCAGCAAAAAAAAATACCATTCGACTTGTTACGAACCGTTTTCAACCGCGTAATTGATTCACGCTAACGAGATTCTGTGGTTGTAAATTGTTCAATCGTAATATTACCATTTACCACCTCTTTCACATGCATTCCAAATTGTGTTTCATTTGATCTCATTAGCAGCGAGAATCTTTGTTGCAATGGCAGCACCGCACAAAACGCAACGCTTTCTCTTTTAAAGGCCAACCAACAAGAATTGCATTGGAAGCAGCAGAAAAAAATAACCAAAATAATATAAAAGAAAGAAAAACAATCAAAAGCGATCATAAACACGGCCGGCTTCTGAAAATCTTTTCTGCTGCTTTTTTTTCTGGCTTTTTTCAATTCTAAAATCGATCGTAAAGTCAAAAGAGGAAAAACAGGAAAAATTAGGTGCACATAAAATACTCAAGTTATGAGTGTTGAACATATTCTTTGCTCTTTTTATTTAGTTTTGTTTTTTCTTTCTTTGTGAAAGAACACAATTCGCTTTGTTCATTTCGAGAGAGATTGGCTCGAGGTCGCGAATTGAAATTTCTTTTGAAATGTAACAAAAATGGCAACAGAGTTATCTTTTATTTGTGGAATATGCGCGACGGCCGCGGCAAGAATATGCGGAAAACATACATTGTTAGCGACTTGTTGAACATACAACGAACACACCATGTTCTAAATGACCATAGTCATAATTTTCTCTCGTCTGTATCTTTACAACATCTCGTCAGCGGAAGAATAAAATTTTAATAATTTGATCATAATACGATAGAGCGCACAACCGCAGGCGTTATTGGAACAAAACTTCAATGTAACGCACAAAAATGCGAGAAGAGAACGAGAGAGAGAGAGAATGAAAGAGAAAGAAAACAACACCACTTCATTCTCTCTCCGTTTTTCTTTTGATAATTGAATTAAGTATCATCGTTTAAGTGATAATTCTTGCTGATGGCAATGGCACTACCGTATCGGAACACGGCCAATTGGCTATAATGGTCAATTTTTACGGTTTTCAGTAATGAGAGACGCATACAGACATACACACTAAGAACATTATTGCCAATCCATCTGGTGCAATTGCAAAGAAGCGACCAGCAAATAGAGTGAGTAAGGAAAAGATTGAATAAGCACGAGGAGAAGGGCGAGCGAAAGACAAGAACGAGAACAAGTACTAAAGAGTGAAGTGCTCACAAGTAAGAAGAGCTCATAAGTAAGAGCAAGGAAAGAAATGAGATAGAGTAATAGAACGAGATACAGAGAGGAAGAAAGAGGCGCAGATCTAAGCGATAAACATTTTCTTTTTGCCAAGAAGTGAGAAGTCCGCACCGCAAAACACAAATTGCACAACTATTTCATCTTCGATACACCTTAACTGTATTAGATTCCTCAAAACATCAAACAACATTGCACGTTCCATATGCTTAGAAGAGCCCAGCGCAAATTGGCAGATAGAAAATTTTCAAATTATTTTAAACTGGTTTCGAATTATTATTATTATATGCGTGCTGTTGCTGGCGATTGAATTCTTATTCTGGTTTTCACTCTGGATGCCACAGACCGTTGTTAAAGTTAATTTTTATGCTGGTTTCAAATGCATAGCCACCACCATGGCTTCTAATACACAATATCGTTTGTCTATTTTACGCGCGCGCAACCAGCGCAAACAAAGAGCCATTTAAACACACCGAATTGTTTATGGTTGTACAAGGTGTAGCTGGTGCTGTTGCTGTTGCTGCTGGCAGGTAAACAAATAGACAATATCATAAATTCGATTTGAAACGAGGCGAACACAATAATCGTAAACGTTTTGACAGGCCCTGAGCAAATGGATGGCTTTTTATTAGTGAAAACAGAAAGAAAGAATGCCTGTAAGCGCGCAAAGTAAATTAAATTTTTTTATTTAATTTTAAGTGAAACAACTCTCAACGTCGTTCATACGCGAGTTCACATTCTTCCTGCGCGTTTGCATGTGAAAAACAGGATCTCGTTCATTTTGTACAACATTTACACTCATTTCTCATGCATTTCTCGTCGTTGTTGTTGCTGTTTGGTTTTGTTTGAAATTTCAACTCTTTTCTCTTTTTTTTCGTTGGAATTCTCTTTCTCTAATTTGCTCAT